GAGTGAGTGTTTTGCTTGAGGGTTTGGGACACCCTGAAACACATAACATTTCATTTTGCATCTTACATATGATTTGTTTGTGGGTATATATAACACAAGACAAGGTTGATTTGTTTTAATATTAATGATGGGATGATCTTAAATAAAATGAAGTGATGGTTAGAGATTGTGTGGTTGGCACTTGTTCAACTTCCCAAAAATGGGCCAAGAAAGGTTATTTTCTATTAAGTATTTCACGATGCCAGAATAGTATCTTATTCTTTTTTCTTCGCTTTTTTTTCAATGTTACATTGTAAACTAAAATTCAAGTGCCTTACATTTTTTGGTAGTCTTGCTTGTTGTTATTTACAGCTAATTGTCTAGACACTATGCCGTGATACCTTTTTCTTGGCTTGGTTCTGGATTACAGTCAACGCCTGATAATTTTTGTTCGTCACTAAGTTCTATATTAATTAGCAAATAAATATTTTGACAAAGGTAAAATGTTGAAGTCTGATACTTTTTAGCTTCTCATAATTCGAAGATGTTTTTTATGATATCAGGGTATCTTTTTTCGTACTAGTCTTCAATAGCTTAAAGGGACTGTTGTCAACCTCTTGGAATTTTACAACACCGGGATTAGAAAAAAGTATTGAAAATTTTACTATCCAACTTCTTTGAAATAAATCTCCAAACTAGATTTAATGAAAGGCTTTCCCACTTTCATAACATTAAATTTTATCAATCCAGCAATGCTAGATTCTACACTGTTTTTTACAAAGTTTCTTGATTATCCCAAAACTATCATCACAATTGAATAACAAATTATTGATGCTCTGTTGTGAGATCGTGTTCGGGTAAAGCCTTTCTGTTCATACAATTTCAATATATTCTAATAAACCGACGCTTTCCTGATTCCAGTTATTATTAATACAATTCTTTATGGAAACTATTCATACAGAATACTCAACTATTCAATGGCAATATGTTGGACAAAACTTCCGTATATTTCTCAATTTGAAATATTGAGCTTGCTTATGCTTCACAATAAATTCAATATATAATTTCGATCGTTAACGTTAACAAATCAATTATTCACTGGTGTGTGTATATATATATATATATATATATATATATATATATATATATATATATACATATATTCAAGCAAGCGTTATAAGAAATATGTTAACATGAGAAGGAATTAATTGATGATTTGAAGAGTGAGTTATCTGAAAAGTTCCATACGAAGCCGCTTAAAACTTACCTGAAGGTGTTTCTAAAAATGGTTTAATATGAGACATTTACCTAGTCAAAATTCTAGATTTACAATTCCAACGTCAACCAAATATCCTTCTATATGAAATAGCACCTGATTTCTGTAACTGAATAGTGATACTAGTGATAATTTGAATTATATATTTACAGAGAAAATTTTTTTTCATGTATTTATGGGGATACTAACACGTCAATTAACACTATTTCATTTGGATAAATTCTATTACTTGAAATTATTAAATAAATTTTTCTTTATTTTATTAAATATTAAGTTAAAACTTTTTTAAAAAAAAATCATAAATAATCATAAATAATCATAAAATCGATAAAATTCATAATCCGTGATTGATAAATAATTAAATCTATAATGGATAAGTGTATAATGAATAAATGATAATTATGAATAAATTTGAATGTATATTAATTAATATGAATACAAATAATATGAATTGTTGAATAATTGAATGATTGATAAAAAATTAATAAGTACAAAATCTAAAGTCAAAAACTTAATTCTCTCTTTAAATATAGTATTCCGTATCTTTAAGTGAAGCAGCAACACTTATACAATCTGATTTTATAAATCCATTGCTTCCATTACTCCCACTACTACGACTAGTACGACTACTACCACGACTTGATGAAGAATTGTTGTCATTCCATAATGTTACAAAGTTTTTTGCTTGATTGACTAAATGATGAGCGTAATAGACAGGAACTACATGTGATACAGAAAGATTACATCTAAATAATAAATTGCATAGATTTAGGGTGAGAAATTGATGAAATTTTTATAAATTAAAAAATAAATAGAATAATAATATAATATTTAAATACCTTGCAGACAAGAAACATAATTTATAAGTAAACTCAAACATTTCTTCATTCGAGAAACCTCTTTCATCGTATATTACATAATAATGAGTTGGTTTGGAAGTTCCAAGACGACCCGTATGCGAGTATAAATCTGTTTAATATTAATTATGTCAATTCATCAAATAAGTAAATAAATTAATAAAATTAATTAATTAATAATAATAAAAACTTACAAAATTCAAAATTTTGTGGAACGACAATTCCTGTAAAAATAACAGTTCCTTGCTCACAATTTTGATTCTTATTACTACTATTCAACGCCAAAGCTCTAATTTATAATAATAACAATCATTATTATTATTAATATTATAATATATTGATATATAAATATGTAATTATTAATGAATTAATGAAATTTAATGAAAAATACCTGGCACGATGCCTTTTTTGTACAATTACAAATGTTAGTTTTGGTAAATTCTGTTTGTGTTTAGAATAAACGGTCTTGAATGCAGCTTTTAATGCTGTAATTTCCTGATCTTTGACATTTTGAAAACCAGTATCGGAAACACCATCTCTATAAAATACTATTTGATCTGGTAATCGTTTGTTTTCACTATAATAAACCTCTAACAATTCCACTGACATTGGTTCAAGATCTTCAATAGTTTCATTTCTAACTTTGTGGTTTGCAGAGAAACGTGCTGCATATTTTGTTAGATGTAAGTTTTTTGATGCAATAACGCCGGCAATACTTGCTCGTTCCCCTTCCAATCTTCCTGGATGAAAAACATCAGCACCCATAACCATAAAATGCTATATAGTTGATCAATTGGATAAGTGAGCATATTGTTGATTAATTAAAAAATTGTGAATTTGATTTTGCAAAAAAAAAAAAAGATTCTTACTTCTTTTTTTGTGATTTTCTCAAGCTCACCAGGACTCAATCGAGCATTTTCACCACCTAATTTCCCATTAATCTTTAATGACAAATTATTAAATGTACTTCCCCATTTATCTTTTTGTCTTGGATCAATGTTATTAGACAAGATACATTGAGTCGCAACACCTAATGTTGCTGCAATTTTTTTTACAGCAGGATAAACAGTTGAATTTCCTCCATTTTTTGTAACTATACAAATGATTAAATCAGCGTTTCCTCTTTTTTTATCAAATCTTGCTCTTTCCAAAGCTTTCATTACGGCCTATATTTAAACAAATAAACATATTAATGAATATTATTTATTTATATTTATATTTTTATTTAATTCCTACCTCTTGAATGTCTCCCTGTGGATTTTCATGCTTAACTGATGGCGAATAAGGAACACTCTATTTTGAATTAAATAATAATAATTATTTTTTTGCTATATTTAACCTACAATAATAATGAAGATGATTTTTACCATTCCTCTTTTTGTTAATGTAGATCTTAATAATCTCATAGCAGCTTCTATTGTTTCAACTTTTACATAACTATCAAATATTATAACTGACCAATTAACGACAGCTTTTGCCTTTAAAAAAATTTAATTATTATCTAAAAAATTATTAAAAAATTAAATTATTAAATTAAAAATATTAATAACTAAAAAACTTACTTCAACAAATTTATCAGTATCCCAACGATGATTTCTTATAACAGTTTTACGATTATTACCAGTATGAAGATTTGGTTCAGGTACAATCTTACCCTCTTCTTCAATAAAATGTGAATCAATCTTCAATCCAAATGCTTTCAAAACTTTATCTTCATCATATTTATAAACTTCATGTATTGCATCATATATGTAATCAAATCTATCTTTTGGTTCAATGCATGTTTTGCGAACAACTTGTCTTCGTGTCTCTTCAGGAAGTGGTTTCCATTCTTTTTCTTCAAATTTTTGATCTTTAAATAAGGATGATATTAACAATGATAATAATGGGAATGAGAAGAGAACAGCAAATTGACAAACTGAATACTATATCTTTAATAATAATAGTTAATGGACCATCTAATAAATCATACCTTTAACAATTTCACAAACTTCGATTGGGTAATAATCATCCCTTTTTAGATTTCGATTGTATACACCGATACAAGGTAATTTAGCATATTGCAATTCATAATCCCACCGACTTTTAAAATATTGCTGAATAGTTTGAGAATTTCGATCGTTTTTATTAACTTTTAAATTAGCAGCACTTTCATATGATAATCTGCTGATAGTGATTTGTCTTCTTTTTCCATATGATGTAATTTCTAATTTTACATCTTTAAGATAACTTTGAAGGGAACGACATTCATCTGAGCTAAGACCTCTTGTTTTTAAATCATTTAGCGTCCTCGAATTTCTAGAACCTCTCTGAATCGCTTCTGGTATAATATTAATTAATGGACCAGGAGGATAAAATATTGCTGAACTTCTATCAACGTTTACCACCAAACAATCTATAATAATAATAATATATGTAAATACATGTATTAGTATGCGTAAATATAAAACGATTAAGTAATGTGCATTAATAATAATAATAATAATAATAATAATAATAATAATAATAATAATAATAATTACCCCATCCAGGTTTAAGAGCTTGTTGAATTCCTGGTTTTAATATTAATGCACCAGGCAATTTTATTTCTTTAAATAGTGGCAAATCAGGAAAAATTGATCTTCTTCCTAGTGATAAATGGTTTAATCTAGGTGTAGAATTTAGAATTGCGTTCAATAATGAAAGACCAAATTGAACAGTGCCATCATATTCTGTATTTGGATTTAAAGAAACAAAGTCCATAAGTTTTTCTAAATCAGCTTCTCCTTGATATCTTAATTTTACTTGATAATTTTTACTTCTTCTTCCTTCAACTTCAGCAGGAAGATCGATCTAAACATTAAAGTTAAATATAAAAAATCTAAATAAAAAGCATATTATTATTATTATTATTATTATTATTATTATTATTATTCTACTCCTTACTTTAAACTCTTTATCTTCTTTATGATCAAATGCAAATTTTTTATTAGAAAAAATTGGCCCACCATCGTAAACTGATACAATATTTTTCCCCAAAAGTTCAATTGATCTAATGCGATCATAGACTTTTTTTGAAACCTTTTTGCTTGCCGGTTTTCTAGGCGGTTTGGTAATTTCAGTCACATCAAACGAGTAATTATAAATTGCAGGATATTCTTTCTAATTATTTTCAAAATAAAAAATAATTAATAATCTTATTTAATTTTAGGAAAATCAAGAATTTATTAATTACCTTAACAACTCTTAAAAAGTTTAATACAAGTTTTGCACTTTTCCATTTGTCTAAACGATCGGTTGGTCTTTTTGTAATTTTGTAAGTGGTAATGCTAGTAGTAGTACTACTAGTAGTAGCAGACTTATTAGATGATTGCATTTTTTGAATTTAGGAATAAAATATCAAAAATAATTTTATTAAATAATTTTTATTTGCAAGGAAGCATTTTTTTAAAATAAAAATAGAAAAATCAAACGAAATTTTATACGAAATTTTTAATATCACCATCATTGTATACTCAGAAAAGCAACAAATGAACAATTGTACATTGTTATGCATCAACCGCAACAAAAATCTATTTTTATAGTAATAGGAAAATAAAAAAACATGACTAATTAATTATGTCATTTTAGTTTTTTGTGTGGAAATATTTGAATGCATAAATGGAGAGAAGATTGATCAGCCAATAATTTTCGGTAGAGGAGGAATCCAACAGTGTTATTATTGTTGTTGTTATTATAATACTAATACGATTTTTTTTGATGTTGGAGCTTTAAATGCATGTTATTAAGAAGGTTTGAATCATGAATTAGATAGACAATTTAATTCTCTACGACTTTTATGTTTATTCTAATTTTAAAATTATTTATTATTGTGTAATGTCAATTTAACCATAAAAATGACATGATTTATGGAGCTTTGATTATAATTAATACTAATATATTAGTTCAGAACCCCATTTATAAAAAATTGCATTAGGCAATATTTTACTTGTTGGACAAAAGATTTTTTTTTTTCTGAAATATCGTTGAAATCAAAATTTCAATCGAAAACTTCATGCAGAACAATGCAAAATCACGATTATCATTGTTGTTGTGTATTGTCGACTAACTTGGTAATTGTATAATTAATAATAACCAGAAAAAAGTAATTTATGCATAAGTTTCTGTTTTGCTACTAGTGTCTTAAATTAATCATAGATTAAAATATCCGGATCCAAGATCCAATTGCCAATGAGTATTCCTGGATAAACTGATTATATAAAAAAATTATTAATATTTAAAAATTTAATAAACTCGATTTTTTAATGTAAATTTAAAAAAACAACAAACAATGGCCTGTTCACTTAAATATTACACCATAATTTGGTGAAGCTTCTTCCTAATATAAATTCAGAGGTTATATCTATTGAATTGTCAAGGTTGATTTAATTTAAATTTTGATATTGATAGATTTTCTAATTGGAATATATTGATAAATTTTTTAAAATAGCAAGAAACATTGTTGTAGAAAAAAATAAATTCTTGATCCAATAAAGGTTATGCTTGTTATCATTTATAGTAGCAAGTATAGAATTTATGATTTGATGTAAATTATTTATAGCATTCGAAAATGACAGCCATCAAGTTTTACATAATTTTAATACTTTAATAAAGTGATGGTTCTTTTAAAAGCTAATTAATAAAGTAAAAATTAATATAGTCAAAGCTCGTTAAATTCATATGCGATAAATTCATAATTCTTCAGGAACCAGTGCCATTTATATTAAAATTTATTTGGTAATTTCATATTTATAGTAGTAACAAAATCTCGATAATTGGAATAATTCGATGAATTCATAACTCTCTGACTTTCTGTATATATGAAATCTTGCTCTTTAAATTCATATATAAGTAGTCATGTTTTCTGAAATCTTATCCTTTTATAGAAATTATGGATTCTCTCGATAATGGGAATAGTTCGATAATTTGCCGTATCTCTTGTAATGTTTTTCATATTTTTGAAAATATAAAACTTCATCTGAAGCATCTTGAATGAAGTGATACACAATGATTTGAAGATATGAATGGATTTTACTTTTTTTAAGTTTTGCTGTAACAATTTATTCCCATCATATTAGAAGTATTACAAAACGATATGATGAATTCTAGATTAATCATGCCAACTACTGTATTTCACGATGACATATTTTAACAATGAATTTCTCTACAATTGCTAAGTATTTATCATGATCAATGAATGCTATTAGCTTCATCAATCATCAAGCTCCTGTTTGAAGAATTAAATTCTTCACCTTATTGGTGATTGTTTTATCACAAATGCTACAGTATACTATCTAAAAGAACAGACCAGCATATAGCTTGCATATTTTGATCTAGATGGTGATGGTTTTTCTAAGGAAGCAGGTTTAAAATAGAAATATCAATTCACTGTTATTTTCAATTTGTGGAAAGGAGGCCTCTGATAATGTATCCATCCGATCCTCTCTCTATTTAAAAAACTTAACATCCTCTTTACATTCTAATCTGAATCGTTCAATATATTTTAACGGTACAGCATTATTATTATCAGTGCTCATGAGGTTGTGCGAAATGGACAACACTCAATCTTTGCAATTTATCCAAATAAATTTTTTTAAATAAATGTATTTATTATGTATAATTGAAAATATAATAAAAAAAAGATAAAAAAATATTAATTAATATCATAATTAGATAATTAGATAACAATTCTATTGTGGTAACTTCTGTTTCTCGTTGTCGTCATCATCACCATTATCGTCATCATCATCCCCTAAACCTTTTATTCTTTGTTTTTTATTAGAATCAACGTTGTTGTTAATATTATTACTACCACTACTAATAAACCTTGATTTAATACTTCTAATAGCAGCATTAAAATTGATTTGAAATGATAACGGTGAGGACTTTGATGATGAAGCAGCAGCAGTGCTAATGGTGGAGGCGGTTGTGGGAGTGGAAGTGGAAGTGGAAGTAAAAGAATTGGAAGTAAATTTTGGAAATTCGTTGGTCTCTTCTTTTTTTTTTAATAATATTAAATCGTCTTCATTATTTGATAGTGATGATGGAGACAATGATTCTTTCTTATCAAATAACATAAACAATTTTTGAAATGATGATGATGGAGGTGGTGGTGGTGAAGAAGAAAATAGCGTTGTTGATGATGGTGGCGGTGGTGGTGGTGGTGGTGGTGATGATGATGATAATTTTTGTCGTTTGTTACTTAATTCTTTATCAATATTTATTTCTTCTTCTTCTTGATCTTGATCAGTTGGAGATGTCGGAGATGGAGTAGATGAGCTTTTTCGCTTATTGTTATGATTATTCCCACCATCATCATTGTGATCATCATCATCATTATCAACAACATCATTACCATTGCTATTGCCATTGCTATTACCATTGCCATTGCCATTAGGTTCATTATCATAATCATCATCGTCAGCATTGAAATAGGCCTCCTCATCATTATCAACAGTTGTTGATGACCAATCACTTATTATGGCTTGACGTGGATTAGCACTAATGATATGTATATAAATTTATTAATTATAAAACCATTTATAAGCATTTTTCAGTCAAGGAATAAAAAGTTAAGTAACATACGGATTGTTTGTTGTCTCATCAGATTCCGTAGTAACATCAGTCGTTTGATTATGATTTCTATCGTATTGTTGGATAAGCTTCTCAAAAGTGTTGGCATAATCACTAGTTGATGATAGTTCCTCACGATGTTTATCAACTAATTCATCAATAAATGGCCGAATATTACTCTATTATTATAATGTTTGTTAGGTTGTTATATATGATTCATAATTACAATATTGCAACAAAATAAAAACAATAAAAAAATACTTACTACTCGAATATATTCAAGCAATTCAACCGAAGCAGAATTTAATAAACTGTTTTTAGGTTTAGGTTCTAATAATAACCTTAATATTGGTGTCATGATTTTGTGTGATGCAACATTTTTGACAACAAATTTATAATCAAGCCCAATTATTGAACGAATGGTTCGTAACGCCGCTAATTTTTTAAACGATACAATAAATATTTTTCCAGGAAATAATTTGATTTTAAAATTTAATAATAACGATAATGGTGATAAAAATAACTTACAAAGCCTTAAAATTTTATCATTTGTTCTTAACAATAACACAAGCTTTGGTACAATGCTATTTGTCATAATAAGAAATTTACTTCTCACTCCATGATATCTTATCATCATTCTCATTAACTCACATAGATGAAAGAATAAGGTTAATTGTGATTCGGTTAAATATAATATTTCTGTAAAGTTTATTCTTAGTTAGCATCAGAACTAATAATAGAATTAATAATTAATCAATCAATTAATTTGAATATTTTACCAGTTTCAGAATTTAAATTTGGCAAATTAATTAGTGGCCCGAACAAGGTTACAGATAAATTTTCGTAAAAAAATTGTAAAAACTGATCATTATCTTTTTCTTCCCTATACCTAGCGAGTGCTGACTCCTATATATACATACACACAAAAAAGATTTTTTTTAACATGTAAATTATCATTATTATATTCCAACTAGACCTTGAAAAAAATCAAATATACCTCATAAGTGTAATCCATATCTAAACTACCATTTATATTAATTAGAGATTGCAAAACACCGGCTAAATGAGTTGTGAAATCTGAATTTTTATTTTCAACTATTTGATTTATTATTATAGTTGCTAATGATTTTTCATTTATTCTATGTTTCCTAAGTATATGCAACCTTACTATTCCTGCCTCCAACACCATAATTGATGATAATAAATTACTACCTCCTGATTTCAAAATGGCATCATCAATCTCTAAAGTTGATTCGATTGCGTCTAAAATTCCATTTTTACATAATGCTCTAATAAAGTAATATTTGTTGTGTTATTATTGTTTGTTGGGATAATAAATAAAAATACGAACGGAGAAAAAAAATAACAAAAAACAAAAAATATTGGTAGCAAACCTGTATAAATCACTTCTGCTGGAAGGTTGCAAATTTTTGGCAATATGAAATAATTCTTGTAAAAATCCTATGGAATCATATTTTTTTTGTATAGGCTCATTTGGTTTATTTAGTATATCAAATATTTCTAATAAGTATTCAGAATCATTAGCAAAATGCCTGCATATCTCAATATAATTAAAACAGATTAATGAAGATAATGCTGTTAATGTTTCATCATCGCATGATCCATGTAATAAGGAATCTCTAAAAAATTGGATTCGAAATGTTTCGTGAATTTTTTCTTTAATAAGGTCATCTTTAATTTTTACAGCCTAAAAAATAATATTTTTATATTTTAAATATATTAATGTAAGCAACAATATAACATATAATTAAAATTAAAGATAGTTTTACTTGTTTATGTTTAGATTGATCTGATAATAATTTTCTATGTTTAGGTCTTTTGTTGGTATATTGTGGATCGTCTTTTTTGAGGAGAGAAAAAAGAAAAAAATACAACATTAACGTTGTTATTATTGCAGATTAATGTTTATAGGTCATTTAATTATTTGCCTACATTCAAAAATTCCTGCAACCTTGACGAATAAATCTTTACGTATGAGTACTTCAAATAATGCAATTTCATGTAAAGAGACTAGAAGATCAAGAACAAAAAGCCATGTAAGACAATAACAGCATATTAGATATTGCATAATTCAAATATAAAATATAAATAAAAACCATACAAAGAATTATCACTTCTACTTACTTATACTTTTCAAGATATTGAATAATGTGTGGAGGTAATCAACGTCTTTTAATTCTTCACACATATTAAATAGTGGTAATAATTTTTGAAGGTATTCGTTCTATTATTATAAATAATAACAGTAATAGTTGATGAATGATTGATCTTATAATAATAATATTTTAAGTAATACTAAAATAAATAAATACTTCGAGCAAAAAACTGGCCAACTGATATTTTTCTAATTCACTCGATTCGCTTGCTATTTTGATTATTGAATGTATAGTTGCCAAATTTTCAAGTGTTGGTTCTGGCAGATCTAAGTTAAAATTATTAGATCCCACTTGATCTCCATTCTCTTCTTTCTCAATCTCTTCTCTTTCGTTTTCTTTACCATTTTTTTCTATCATTTATTATTTATCAAATATTTGCCAAGTTACAGACGGTATTAATAATTTACAAAAAAAAAATAACAAGATCAACCAGAACTTATTTATTCTAAAATATTGCATGTTAACTTGTTTACTCAATTGTGCAACAATATGTTGTTAGAGTTACACGATTTGTATAATAATAATAATGCCATAATGAGAGAATACATAAATGTTTCAGGGACTCGGATTTGTTAAACACCACACCACCTTTTGCAACTGAAATAGTAAAAAATCATATCCAGAATTCATCTTATTGACATTTTTGGTTGATATAAGTCAGTACAAGATTTCGTTTGTCAAAAACTTTTACAATAATGAATCAATGGTTGGCTAGGGCCTTTTGTGAACCTTTAATAAAAATTTCAATTTTGTTGAGCCTATCTTAACTTTCTGGGATTCTCAAGAAGTCGAGCATCGTTGATGAGCACATTCCGCGTCACTGCCGTTGGATTTTATAAATAGTAAGAGTCATTAAAATTTGCTGTAATATTAAATTAACCATATGGTCTAAGGATATACGCAAAGTTTCATAGTGAAAAGATTTAAACAAACCCTATCTGAAAAAGGGAAAAATCATATTAAGTACCAATTAAAAATATATATCTATTTAAAGTTCAAACAACACAGTAGCGCTATGAATTAGAACTAGACTGTATGCTAATTATTTTCAATGTTCTCTCGTCCTGCATACACCCTCTGGAAGAAAGTATTCAGATGCATTCTTGAATTTTGTATGACAAAATAAAATCAAATATAGATTAGCTTGCAGCTTAGGTCCTTACAAATATTAATATTAATATGTATGCAAAATTTTCACGTCTCTAAAATTTCCAAATTGGAATTAAAATCGCGGAATTCTAACGCTAATTTTTTCAATTTTGATAAAAAATAGGAAGAAGAGCTGGCCGAACTACAGTGTGCAAATATTTTTAGTTATTTTATTTCTCAATGAAGCTATTTCCCCAGTGCCAATTCTGTTCTAAAAACCAGGTTGGTTGACATGACAATATTTGCCTTGCACAGCAATTTTGTCTATTCGGATCTCCTTCGGTATTACCAGAGCACTGAGCACAGGTAGACAAGTCTAATTTCGACTGCTAGCCATAATCTAGATTCCTTTCGTTTCACCCTAAAATATGGACCTCAATCAAGTCACCCCTTAATATTAATAACTTCACCAAATCCATTTTTTGTACAACGATTAGCTCTAAAATTTTCTTTTATTTATTAATATATTTATTATGAGTTCTCTATATTTAGTTAATATAATAAATAAGTCGATCGTTTCAAGTCAATGAGTATATGGAATCTAATTATTTTATAAATTAATCAAAATGTACATCTTGAATTCCATGTACTTTCAAGATAACTTTTCCTTGACATAATAATAACAAACTTTGGCATTTGAGAATGAGCTTCGACTTGATAAACTCATATGTTGACAGAGGCTGATTCATTCAATTTATTTTATCACAATCAATTATTTTGATAATTGGTGACGTTTGTTAATAAACCACCATCACTCAACTTTTGCTTGGTTTTTTTCCTGGACATAGATTAACTCTTTGTGACTATAAGTGTACCTTTTGCAATTGCATGTGATTAGTGACCAATCAAAACAAAGACAAGAATTGCTCTATTTACAAAAAATAAATATCAGAATAAATACTTTAGTGTAAAAATGGTAACCATTCTCCTTTTATAAAGTGATACAACATCATTTGTCTGTTTAACTATATATATTTTGATTTCGTAGGCTAATTGCAGAGAGTCAAGTCAAGCACAAAAAAGCCTGACACCGTGATATCTTCTTCTTCCTATGCTCCCACGTATCTTGCTTTGTCATAAAAATTGTGCTCATCATGTGTGATTATGACATACATGCATGCACTTTCTCACAAGGCTGTTGTAGTAGCTCAATAGCTCCATTCATATTTATAATATAAAATTTTTATAATTGAACATTCTCTTTAACCATTCTTTCCTGTACTAATTAACACATCTAGGTGTTCATACCCATAATAAATCTTTTTCTCCTGAAATTGTATTATTTTTTATGTGCTCAGTTACCTTTTGAAAAGTCAACTTTTTGGTTTTTGCTGCCATAACCACTTTTTACATATAACATTTATTTTTTTTTATGTTTCTTTGATAATGGAGAGGAAGGCAAGCTTACCATTATTCTCACCAGTTTTGATTGTGACATGCTTGCAAGTCAGAGAATAAAAACAAAGGCAATGATAAAGAGGAAGAAAGATACAAACAATGACTGCATTGATGAGAATATGGGTGAAATACCGATGCAGATGTAGATGTAGTTACTAATTGTTGAAGAAAGGCATGCTCTTTTAATTCTTCCATTGTTTCATTTATAACATTGAGTAGAACTATAGTAAATTTTTTAATGCACCTTCTTCTTTGTCAATGTCTTGAAATTTTGTGCAAATCCTCTATTGAACATTCTTTATCTCTTGTATTCTCTCATCATTCCCTATGGTTTCCTGTTTCTGTTTTGAAGTTTCACCATCAGAGAAACATCCATTTTATTTATCCACCACATGATTATTTTACAATTGATATAGTGAGGCATTTTTAAAGTTGGTAATTTTACACAGTTAATCAACTTTTTGGGATTATATTTTTTTTTGTTCAAGTAAGGTCAGGTTTATACATGCAGCCCAAATTGGTTTGGTGATTTTGATGGTCAAAATTATTCCAATTTTGATGGTAGAAAGTAGAAAT